AGACTTGAAGATATGACAGCAATTTAATCTTTATAAGAGTCCAAGTTGGAAGAAAATTTATTTAGAGTTGAATTAGGAAAGTGTCCAATAAATAAAAGATTTGACACGTCTTTAGTATTCTGGTAATAACTTTTGAATCTGATATCCGATTTACTTGATTTTTAAGGGTTAAAAAGAAGATTTCAAGGGCTACAAAAGTATATTTTGCAAAATTTTCGTGATTCAACCTCTAAATATGAGAAATTCAAGCTAGAAATTTGGACAAGTTTTGTACTCGCGTCCCAAAGATTTTATGCACGGGATTTAACCTTACAAGACTTTTTTTTGGGAAAGGAATTCCTTCCAAGCCAACCTTAGATGTCCTAGCTGTATCTAGGATTTATTATTAGTATAAATAGGGGTTCTCATTTAGAGATTAAGATTCTATTCCTTTTTTCATCTTTTTATTTTTTATTTTAGTTCGTTATGTTTGGCTAGAAAGTTAAACTAGGGCTAAGAGATAACCTCTCAATGAAGTACGATACTGTTATTGACTCTGTGTTTAATGATTTATGATGTTTTGTTAATTTAACTTCTAATTTCTTAGCAAAGTTTTTATTCTGTAAAAATCCTTGAGTCGTTGTGTCATGTACATCGATTGCTTGAATTTTTCTGCGAATAAATAATTGATTATTCCACGCTTGAGGTAATTATGATTATTTTATAAAATAATATAATTGGTTGATTATTCAGGTTTCTGAATAATATTTTGATTATAACTTTTAATTTTTTTACTTGATTTGTTAGTCGAATCAACCGACATCTGATTCTTGTCTCAAGTTAAGATTTGAATCTTTAATCATTATTGTATGAAATTGAGAGGGAATACCTGATGCTCTAGTATTTTTATTCCTGTTTTAATTATTAAAATCAATTTTCTCCGTTCAACAATTCTTTAAACAAATCATTTACTTTTAAATTTGTTTTAATATTTGTGTAATTGCTTTTTTGTTACAATTCCTTGAGAGTTCGACCTCGGTCTTCCGAAAAATATATTACTTCACTTAACTTGCGCTTGGGTTTACAATATTAAAGTTGAAGCAAGTTTTTATATGAAAATTTTTATATGGGAATATGATAACTGCATACATTTATATAGCGTAGAATTTTATATTTTGTTTTGCATGTGCTTATTATAAAGACTTATATCTTAAAATTTTTATATTGTGGTAGGAATTTGTATTATAAAATTATTATTCAGATATTTAATTACAGGGTGATGTTTGTGGATATCATCTCTAGAAACTCTCACGACACTATACTCGTCCACTAGGAAGAATTTAGGAGTTTAAAGGTTTGTTGCATATGCTAAATACAATCGTAAGTCCTACGAAAGTGGCTTTGTATTTTATTTTATTAAGTTATTTTGTTATTTATTTTTAGTTTTTAGGATCCGTGTATTACTAGGGATTAGTAATATTCAGATTAGGGATGTGATTAACCATCAAAATTACTATTTTATTATATTTAATGATTGATTAATTGCATATTATTTGTGATTAAATGTGTTAAATTCCTTAATTTTCTAGTTTGATACTTTTTCTAGTTGTTTAATTTATTTTACAGGTAAATTAGTTGATTTAAAGTAATAATGGATAATGCAAGTGAAACAATCACTAGAGGAAGAATCAAAATTGATAAAGATTGAAGAGTCAAACTTGAAATAGGAAGACTTGAAGATATGAAAGCAATTTAATCCTTATATGTGTTCAAGTCGGAAGAAAACTCATTTACAGTTGGATTAGGAAAGTGTCCAAGAAATAAAGGATTTGACATATCTTCAGTATTTTGGCCATAACTTTTGAATCTAATATCCAATTTACTTGATTTTTGGGGGTTAAAAAGAAGACTTCAAGGGCTACAAAAGTATATTTCACGAAATTTTCGTAATTTAACCTCTAAATATACGAAATTTAAGCTCAAAGTCTGGATAGATTTTGTACCCGCGTCTCAAAGATTTTATGTACGCGATTTAATCTTACAAGACTTTTTTTTGAGAAAGGAATTTCTTCCAAGCCAACCTTAGATGTCCTACCTATATCTAGGATTTATTATTAGTATAAATAGGGGTTCTCATTTAAAGATTAGGATTATATTTCTTTTTTCATCTTTTTATTTTTTATTTTAGTTCGTCATGTTTGGGTAGAAGGCTAAGCTAGGGTTAAGGGAGAACCTCTCAATGAAGTACGGTACTGTTATTGACTCTGTTCTTAATGATTTATGATGTTTTGTTAATTTAACTTTTGATTTCTTAGCAAAGTTTTTATTCTATAAAAATCCTTGAGTCGTTGTATCATGTATATCGATTGCTTGAATTTTTCTGCGAGTAAATAACTAGTTATTTCACGCTTGAGGTATTTATCATTATTTAATAAAATAATATAATTGAATAATTATTCAGGTTCTTGAATAATTTTTTGATTATATCTTTTGGTTTTCTTACTTGATTTGTTACTCGAATCAACCGACATCTGATTCTTGTCTCAAGTTAAGATTTGAGTCTTTAATCATTTTTGTATAAAATTAAGAGGAAGTACATGATGCTCTAGTATTTTTATTATATTGTTTAAATATCTCCAATCAATATATTCAACTCAACAATTTTTTTACACAAATTGTTCTCTCAAATTTTCTTTAGTATTTATGTGATTATTTTTTATTATAATTCCCTATGGTTCGACCTCGGACTTCCGAGTATTATATTAATTCGCGACAACCTACACTTGGATGATCAATTCTAAAGTTATAACATATATCACTTTGCATAAAGTTCTTTTTCATCAGGAGAACTCTCACTCGTAGGTTTAACAAGTTCATTATCTTTCAAGGTAAAGTTTATATCAATAATTTTCAAGGCAAACTCAATATCTTGCTTCCATCTCTTATAATTAGAACCAGTCAAGATTTCAATGTTGACATTATTATTATTCACAACAAAAGAGACTGTTCAAAACAACGAGAATATAAACTATTAGTAAAATTGGGAAATAAATAAATAAAATATGCTTTGAACATAATAAGACATATTTTATTAAGAGAGCCCAAATACATCACTACAAACTTCTCTTTGGAAAGAAAATTCAATATACTATAAGTCCTCTCTTTCATGAAACTAACCAATGAGAATGCTCAAGTTTTGAAAAATTTATTCTCTTTGAACAGATAAACCTTCTAGACTATTGCACTTCTACCACAATGTTTCATGACATCTCCAAATTACAATACATAACAATCCTTTTTGGACAGGTAATTGTATATTATAATTTAGAAATAACCCCGTAACAAAAACATGAAAAAATTTATAAATTTTAATAAATAAACCACTTTGACGGCAACCATCCATCTTAACTCATAGAATTTCTCAAACTAGAATATTATAACAAATTGCTCATAATTAAATATCATATAATCAATCAATATGAGATACTAATCAATATGTATCTCTTTAGATGACTCATCATCAATCGTTATATTCAAGTCTCAATTCTATTTTTACTTTAAAAAAATTAAGTAATTAAATTCACATTTGTCAATATTTAATATATAATATGTAGATCATAAAAAAAAATAAAAATTCTTCTATATAAAAAATAACTTGTCAAAAGATTTTGTCCTTTCAAAAGATAAAAGACTAAGGTATTAATTACTAATCCGGAGCCATCATGATTCTAGCTTCTTTTTTTTTTTTTTTTCTTATGACCTACTGGCCGCCCATCCATACGATGGTTTCACCCCTTTTTTTTTCTTTCTTATGACGTATTGGCCGTCCATCCATACGAAGGTTTCTGTTTTTTTTTTCCTTCTTTCTTATGACGAACTGGCCGCCCATGCATATGATGGTGTCACTTTTTTTATTTTTTTTTCCTTTCCCATGACGTACAGGCCGCCAACCATACGATGGTTTCACTTTTTTTTTTTTCCTTACGAAAAGTGTCGTAACTTTGAATAGAAAAGACGGACAGTGTTGTCACGGCGATGGTGTGATTCAACACCGTATGAATCACGGTCATAGACGGTGACATAAAAAAATTTAAATTCTAGACTGAGTCATAAAATTGTAATACAAATTTTATCGACCCATAAATTCATATACAATTAGCTCTGATACCACATATAAAAAATTTTAATGATTCGTATATGAAATTTAAAACACTTAAATTACAAGATTTAGAACATACATGTATGAGTCATGATACTCAATCTCCAAATTTTTTTTTGAAAAGACAGTGTCTTTCTCACCTACTTCAAAACAATAGGTGACTCTCAATAGGACAAATCAAATTAGGATTATGAAATGGAGAGGAGATCTAACCTGCTATATATAATGAAATCTAATAGACTCTACCATTAGAGGCCAAAATTAGATTAAAATTTACACTTAACTGTCTCAATCACATCAATAATTAAAAGATGTACATAACTCCATCAAAATAGATCACTTAATAATATTAAGCTCCTCTCATTGAACTATAAATTCAGCCCATTTTTTACAAACTAAAATTAACTATTAATTAATAACAATCCAATATAAAAAAAATTTCAACACTCTCGACCTCTTAGTCGATAAAATCNCTCCTCTCATTGAACTATAAATTCAGCCCATTTTTTACAAACTAAAATTAACTATTAATTAATAACAATCCAATATAAAAAAAATTTCAACACTCTCGACCTCTTAGTCGATAAAATCTTCACAGAACCAAGGTTGGTCGCTAGTTCTGTTGTTGAAATTATATTTGAACCAAATTTACCGATCCCATATAACGTTTTTCTGTTGAATTAACAGAAAATTTGGTAAGTAAATTGGCTACATAGATGAAGACCAAACTAGATGTTTCTTTTGCAGTTTTTGTGTCGATAAAGTTAGAGAAGCAAAAAACTGGCGACGCAATTGCCGATGGAGTAAAGAAAGCAATCAAATGACAAGAACAACATCAACAAATTAGTATTTTTGGGTATTGATTTTGTGATCATTTTACAGAACAGGGTAACATGGATGATTTCAGTAATTAAGTGCATTGCACCAACAGAAATGAAAGTTGACACTTATTTTCTTTCATGGTTCTATCTGTATTTGCTGCTTATAACTTAATCAATCAGTAGTGTTGGAGAAGTAATGGTTGATAGCCGGCATGACCTCCGGCGGTCGAGTTCGAAGAAACTTGCGGAGGCCATGTATGGCGTATTTCTCTCCTTCCTCTTGGTTTTCCAGTACAGCTGTGGTACGGTGAGCTTTATTGACCCTGTGAATGGCAGGTAAAGATGGGTATGAAGATTAGCTACTTCATGTTATACAACCATATCATACTTTGAAAAAATTGGAATGTTACCAGTTGATGAGATCAAAATCAAGGCATTTAAAATTTAGAGAATCGAATCTAAAAAGCTTGGTATTGATCCGATTAGTCGGGTAGCTACCAAGTTTTATGAATCAATCTTTACTCAATCTCATTGAATCGTATATATCTTTACTTGTTTGTTATTGGTAGAAAATAGATATTGTATCGAGTTGAATAGAAATATGTAGAATATATATATATATACCTGACATCAGGGTTGAGGAGTACGTTTCTGGTAAGCTGGAAAATGCACATCCCAGTAGCAAAGGTCATTGCAGCCATTAGAGGATAGATCTGTGGTCACAAATGAAATTATTAAAAATTTTCCTTTTTTCTTTGCTTTTCTTTTATCTGTTTAAAAACCATGAAAACATAGGGAGGTGGTAAACTCTATCCTCGAGTCCTGGACTGGGCAAGCCTAGGCTGGGGAAGCCGATGTTAATTACACTTTTTACCTCTAGATTACTTGGGCGGACTAACCCGATTTCAACTCGAACATAATCCGAAAAAATTAGGACTTTGGACTAAGATTTTTAATACTTGAGTTAAACCTGAGTCAAAAAACTTCAATCCAAATTTAATTTAGACAGACCTCGAATTGAGCTATCGGGTTCACGAGCTGAACCCGAATTAATGCCTCACTTTGGGGTTCCATTCTTGGGGCATATAGTAACTATGGCAATATGTATATCGGAGAAATTGTAGTCAGACACCTGTTTAATATAGAATTTGAGAAGTCAATAAACTATGTGGTTCTAGCAAGCATGTATACTGCATTTGGCTTGTGGAACAGTGTATCAGGTTTATAACAACAAGTCTATTTTAAGTTTAACTCGAACTTAATTTGAATTGAACCCATAAAATAACCCAAAATCATTAACATGAATTCAACCTGAGCCTGCTCAAATTAAATTCGGGTAGTACTTTGGCTGAGTTCCTTAACCCGAAGTAGAGTTAGAATTAAGGTTAAAATTAAAAATTATATACTTAGGAGTGGGTTAGGATTGACTGTCCAACTTTCCCGAGTTGTACCCCTACTAGACTATCACCCAATTCCTACTTTAGTCCTTAACTTTTTTTATTGTTGATATCGTCCTTCAAATTTGGCAATTGGGTCTAATCGGTTGGATTACTAACTGTCATTTAAACTTTTTGATGGTTGAAAAAGCCATTTGTTGCTCATTTCAGGGACGTGGTCAGAAAAATATTAAATGCACTAATTTTATGTACAATGATAGATGAAAATTAAAATCGTAACTTCATTCAATTGCAGAGTGCCTTTTTTTAATGCAATCCTTGTAATCTACATGAATGTCACGCTAAACTAAATAGATGACATAAAACTTTCAAAAAAAAAAGAAGTCAAAACTAAATAAAATAGAACATAAAGAATGGATAAATTCACTGAATCAATTACAGAGAATTTTCGGTTCAACCTATCTTTTAGTCCCCCAAAATATGGCAATCAAACATGCATAGAGTGCACAAATTTGCCCTATATCTTTCATTTTGCCAATATTCTAATACACTCACCTAGTATATGTCGTTTAGTTATATCTGTACATCACCAATTATGACCTGCACTTACCTCTGGTTTCATCCAACGCCCCATTTGAATTGCTCTCTCTCTCTCTCTGCGTTCTTTGGGTATGCAAAACTTGGTTAAATATTTGGCCTGGAGACCCTGCGGGTATTTAGAGAAATGTATTAATTCTATTTGTACTATTATTATTACCTGCTGCTGAAACTTATATATAGCCTTGGACAAAAGTGAACCAATACAGCCAACAGATTGGGAGGGCTGATTTGCCCATCCATACACGTCTTGGAATGCTGGGAATAATTTCAGTGGGCTACCTGCTATACAAATTTGACCTTTATACCCAAACCCAGGTGCTCAGCCTCCTGTTTTTCATGTAACTTTGGCTTGCTTTGACATGGTAATTAGAATATACGACCCAACGACATTGCCTTTTGGGTACGACAAGTTTATTCGTGATGTTGATTACTTGTAGAATGTTCTACTTCGGAACAAGTCATCTTACGGAATATAAGAATGTTAATATCACAGGCAAACAAGAACCCATTGAAAACCTCGTCCACCATCGTCGATACGTGTCTGAACCTGATCCGGATACCTACAAGATCAGGCTTGGGCTGACCGTACGCTCACATCCAGCTCGACTCACCCAAATTATCTGCTCACAAAAGCCATTCAAAACCTGGTCCACGAGGTCGGCTGGAGGAAATGAGCACGTATGAAGAATGGTAGTAGCTTGAATGGAGGTATTATAACCGTCCTATAGTAACTTTGGGTACCAACTGCATGCGAATGTGGGCCTGTCCACCCACTTGTGAATAGTACTAGGTAATGGGTTGGGCTGCCTTCTAACTGTCTGACCCAGCTTATCCAACAACCTATCTGGGTATATGCTTGGGCTTAACCTACCCAGGCTCCGTCCAAAAAATATTCCCAAGCTTTGTTGGGTCCAGCCCATGGACACCTCTAACCCCTGGCCGCTTCCACAGTTCACCTTCCACTCCGTTACTTTAGTATAAAATTAAGAGTAATTCGTATCTGAAGACACAGTGCAATATAAATGATTTTGAGAGAAATGTTGGTGGCCGCTTGATGATTCTATTTAAGACTATCAAAT